TAAAAGTTAGCTTAATTTGAAGTCTAAAACATGATAAAGACTCCGTTAAAAATTGGTCTATTAGCATTTCATTTAGTAAGACTGCCTAGGTTGGAAACAACTTTCAATGGTACAAATTTAAAATATGTAGTGTTCTTCTGGTATCGATTTTGTATTCCATGTATTCTTACATAGTTTGTGTACATAACTTAAAAAAAATTATTGTGTCATGCTGTCACAATGAATCAGAACCTAAGGTACGGGAAAGAGCAATGTATTTGGATTTCACAGATAATCCAACCAACTATTAGCTCAAAGAAGTCGCTTAACCTTTGTAAAATGAGGTTAAACATTCTTACTCATATGCCTTCACAGAAAGTGAAAGGTGTTAAGTAAAAATAAAAGAACAGAAACAAAAACCCTATGTGAATGTAAGACATTTTTATAACTTGTCATTTATTTTTACTGATAAAGATCTTACTTTGTATGTATTTAGTAATATACAGACCTATTTGTCCAATGTGCTTAACATGCTCTGATTATAAAGATCCAAAAATATAGGTATTTTCCAGCTATCTAACTCATTTTCCTACCCTCCACTACAAAGATCATTTAGCAAAATAAGTGTCTCAGTATAATTCTAAAATTATTTCTCTCCAAAAAAACGTACTGAATTTCCCCCAACTTCTTATCTTGAAAACATTCATATCGACACAAGAGTTGGGAGAGTAATACAATGATATCTATTTGCCCTTCATCTAGATCTCCCAATTGTTAGCATTTAAATAAAATGTTTTATGTGTACTGTCTACATGACATGTCTGCTTTTATGCCTGTTTTAGAGTCCAGATCTTAAGGACAGGTACTGTGTGTGTTTTATCACAGCAAAGTCAGACCAAGGTACCTAATTTTAAAAGCTTTCTGATGAAATATATATTTAAGCCATACTTAAAGAATTCTTATCTGCAGATACCAAAAGAAATACATGTATTTCAGGATTTACTGAACAGTACTTTTTAATATTATGTAAAATTTTCAAGTAAAGATTTTCAGATTTCTAGAGGATACTGTTTTATATAATGTATTTTCTGTGAAGTGACCAATCAAGGTAAGCCTAATTTTACTGTGCTATTTTATAAGTGGGCAACATAAAGAGAATAGAATCTTTGCCTTAAGCTATTATTTTATCCTCTTTATTCAGTTACCTTTAGCTTCTCCACATATTTGCTCTGTCTCAGAGATTAGACTGATAAGATTAAAGTGAGACATAGGTTAACCAACTCTCCAGGTTTGTTCAGGATTTTCCTGGTTTTAGCACTAAAGTCCTATGTCCCAGAAAACTCCTTAGTCACAGGTAAACTAGGACAGATGGTCACCCTATGTATAAATATGGCCTTTGTGAGGCCAGGAAGAGTTGTGCCAGCCAGGCTCCAGCTATGTCCTGTTAGAAAGTCCAGTCTCTTTAGTAAGCTACCTAGCATAAAATGGATTCAAATGCTTATGTTACTCTGTGTGGCAGGGAGATGAACTGTGAATCAGTATAGTGCAGTAAGGAGTTTAAAATATGGCTTTTTTCAAATAATTTAACAGATCTGGACTGATAACTTGGCACCATCATTTCTTAGCTATGTGACTTTAATTAACCTGTTTTACCTATTTCAACCTCTATTTTCTCATAAGTTTATTAAAAAAAAAAAGATTAACAACACCTATCTCACACAGTTGCTATAAAGATTACTTGAGAAAATATAAGCTAAGGACCTGCACAAAGCATTAAATAAAAGTTATCATTCTGTGAAGAATGTGTCCTTAAGAGAGAGTCACTAAATCTGCTTCATTTGAGTTTAGTTCACCAAACATTTATTGAATGCCAGGCAGTTTTCCAGCTGCTTAGAATATAAATATGAATAAAGGATGGCCACTGCTTTCACAAGCTCAGGCTTGTTGTAGAGAATTAATTCCACTACCGGGGTTACAGAGGCAGGACTTTTCTTACCAGTGGCTTGGTCGTTCCTTAGTTTTGGCTCACTGCCACGTCATCATAAATAAATATATTTAGTCTATAAAATAAAGCTGCTTAAAATCATCACAGCAAAAAAGCATAGTTCACTTTAGATCACTATTTTAAAAAATGTGTGCCATTGTATAAAATAAGAAAGTTATCACAACAGTGTAAATTGCTAAAGGAGTTGGAAACATTTACATCTGAAAATGAGTAAAAACATTTGTGACCTTTATAAAATGGTTTAAGAAAAACTGTGTGTTGTTTTTATGCTACACAATAAAGTAGTTAGAAAGTTGCAACTAAGGACTGAAATTACCACAGCAGTAACTTGTACTGAATACCTGAAGAGCTACAGGATTAATAAAAATTCTCTTCAGCAAAACAGGACTCTTAGACTAAATTTGTCCAAGATCACAGTAGACAGCTAATAACTCTAATGCCTAATATTCATATAGGGCTTTATGGTCAGCAAAGCACTTTCAAACACAGGTCATTTGATCCTCACAACTACTGTTAGAAATATAAACAGGGTAAAGATCACATTGAAGAAACCAAGGTTCAGAGAGGTTAAGTGAACTGCCTAATAGTACAGAGATCCAGAGCTAGAACTAAGGCCTTCTGACTCCATGACTGCATTTTGAATAAATGCACTGCTAACTACAATGCAATCTTACTAATCTGTACCTTATTGAGAAAGACATGAAAGTATGATGTCTCATTTGCTGGTGCATGAGGAGTTGAAGGAAATATTTTTGTTTTATTTATATATATATATATATATATATATATATATATATATATATATATAAAGTAACATAACTCTGGAAAAAATGGAAAATGCAGAAGACAGATTAACCTAGGGAGCATAATTAGGGATTATTATAGGGAATGGAATATATTAGATCTATAATTACTAATTCCTTTGGAGAAACATGACATGTTTATGCTATTTAGACTTCCCGTTTAGGAAAGGTTTCTCTATTGACTCAAGCCTTCCTGTATCTCTTAGCAAATACACACAAGTCTCTTCCCAGGATTTCTTGATTTTCTTTTTAAAGAAAAATAATGAAGTTGCTATATTTAAAAAAAATTTAGGCCAAGACTAATTAGTCTTCAAAACTAAGGATAGAGTCACAGAGAGAAATAGGTTCTGCAATTAGCACTGCAGCCCTCAACCAAAGTTCACTGTTCATACAGGTAATGATGCTTCCTCCTTGGTTTCTTCAGGCATACCCTCATATACACATACCCAGTAATCACTATTCATATCTTACACACAAACCTCAAAGGCAACAGTAGCAGTTTAATGTTCCTACTCTGCTATTTCAGGAGAGGAATACTTTTCCTTCCCAAGGATTACTAACTCCAAGGGAGAAAATAAATTAGTGTATATATAAAAGAAAACCTACTTTTATTTGTTGTACATCTTTTTTAAGAGTACAGGAGAAGAAACTTTTAGAAATATTTAAATAGGAAAAACAAAACTTTCTTCTATAAATAAGAAACAAGAGTTACATATTATAAGCAATGAACTGAGGTAGGAGGAAAAAGAAATGAAAAGGAGATAATGGAGAAAATTTTAAATTCTTGGTATTAGTGGTCTGGGTCTCCTCATATCCACCCCCACTGCCAAAATCCTTCCTCTAAGAGAGGTCCAGATTAGCACATTGTGTGTAAGACCTAATCCCTACCATCTGGCAAAACCTTTTATGTCCTCCTTAACACCACATATGTGCTTTCAGTCCTCTCAGAGTTAAAAGGGTTTATCTATCTATCTATCTATCTATCTATCGGCTGTGTTGGGTCTTTGTTGCTGTGCGTGGGCTTTCTCCAGTTGTGGCTGAGCCCGTGCACTGCAACTACTGAAGCCTGTGCGCCTAGAGCACCTGCTGTGCAACAAGAGAAGCCACTCCAATGAAAAGCCCCCTTATGCCTCATTCACACAGAATCTTCCTCCCTTTCAGAGTTTATCACTAACTTGAATTTTTGAATATGCATCTGCTTTTTTGTTTTTTGGGGGTTTTTTTGGCTGCGCCACACAGCTTGTGGGATCTTAGTTCCCTGACCAGGGATCGAACCCAGGCCCCCTGCACTAGAAGTGAGGAGTCCTAACTACTGGACCACCAGGGAATTCCCTATGCATCTGCTTTTTACAGTTTTTTTTCCTTCAAATTATTTTTGTATTTTTAATGCCTGCTTTTAGAAACTCTACCAAAATAGAAGCTTGTTAACCTGTTTTAGACTAGGACACTGAGAAGGTTAGGACTGTGCTTTTACGTAAATGTGAAAAGTTCCAAGAGAAGGCCTAAAGCGTTCTCTTTTGAGTAAAGTCTATGAATATTACTGCACCTTCACTGAGACATCAATTTTGCCTGTTAAAAGGCTTTCTGAATTTAATTCCTGCTACTTAAGATTGTTCCATTGGTTGGGAATGCCAAAAAGTAACTTTGTAAAAGTCAGGTGTTATATGTAGCTGAGGGATTCACAGACTTAGAAGATCGTGAAGTGACATTAATGGTCATCAAATCCAACCCCTTCACTCCCTCTGGGAAAAATGAAGCCCAAAAAGTTTGAATGACTTGCCTTAAGTCACAGAGCTAGTTAACAGGAGAGCCAAAGTTAGTTTTCAAGTCACTTAGACCAGTAGTTTTCAACTGGGGACCCCTCAGAGGATATTTGGCAATTACTGGAGACAGTTTTGTTTGTCACTTTGGAAGATGCTACAGATGCCAGGGATGCTGTTAAACACCTTCCAATGTATAGGACAGCTCCTCACCACAAAGAATTATCTAGTTCAAAATATCAACAGTGCTGAGGTTGAGAAACCCTGACTTAGGACTACACTTTGTCACATCTATGTAATCAACTTTTACTTAATATAAGCATTCTGAGAAAAATTGTGTCAGAATAGGATATTTCCCTTTGGTCAAACAAAGAGTCAGGTAAATTTAAAGGTTCAGTTTATTTGATTCTCTGTGAGATGGAATATAATAATAAAAGAATACAACATACTCACCAGGAGCCAAAACCCATGGGTCTTCTATCATAATCTGGCAGATCTGGAGCAATCTTACAAGCCTGTATGTTCAGGTATTTAAATATGTGGATTTTGCCTTTTATACATATCTAAACAAAGTAACATATAAATACAACCAAATTATTACTCATCTGAAATATATGTGTCCCCTTGCATTTTAAAATAAAAATACATTTTTACTTAATGTATACTGGAAATAGAAGGCATTTCTATCAAGTATATACAGTAATATTTAAAAATGTACTGATTATAACATTGTATCATGTTACTTTAGGCGTTTAAGTGATATAAATGTAGGTTTTTGTTTTCTAGTCCCTAATAAGTTTCAGTAACATATAAAATAAATAATTTATGATTATAAACAGTTAGAATACCAAGTAAACTTATATTGATTGGTTAGGCATAGTCAGGGATTTAAAGCATTGCTCCCCATGGATTATATTGGTAACTTTTGTTTTTAGGAATCCAACAATCATGCACAATTACATTTTCAATCCTACTTCCTGTAAGAGAGAAAAGCAGGAAATGATTAAAAAAGTTATATACACTTCTGTTGCTACCTACTGACTTCTGTCCCACAGCCAACACACAAATTCTTTAGGATTATGAGGCCTTTCTATAGTTATGAAGTTTACTCATAAAGTTTAACAGTTGCCATACAGAGGCTTGTACAAGACCATCAATTAATTGCAGAGTAAGGAAAGCTACAGTGAAAAATATAAGGTGATCAACACTTTTTAGACTATAGAATGTCTAGGATCTATTTGTAAAGCTACCTTATAATAACTTTATTAAGTAGTTTCATTTCAGTCACTGATAAACAAATGACCAAAATGACTAAACGAGGAACTTAAGATTTTAGAAAATAGTAAAGTACAAAAACAATGGTCATGAGAGATACATTGATGATCTTTAGTTCTGTAAGCTGAGCATTTTGTCTTTAGCATTTACATTGTCTACATTTAAGTTTTACTAGAAAGAAATAACTCAAATTTTATTAGAAAAAAACTTTAAGGAAGACTCCTTCAAATTAAAAAGAAGTCAATTTAGTGAAAGGAAAAACATTTTTGGAATATTACCTATCTTCCATTCCATTTATTCAAGGCTTCTAAAGAATACATATAAGTTGTGAATTTATTTTAAAAGAACTTAGTTTCTAAAAAAAAGATAAATACATATAACTTTTAAACTTCATCTTTTGTCAGAAAAGTTCATAACATACTTCAAGTCAACTATGGTTTACCTGTGCAGGAGGAGATTGTAGTGGATTATTATCTAGGGTGATCATCTGTAGGTGCCTGAGATTCCGATAACAAACAGGGATTGTTGTAATTTTATTGCAGGAAAAGTCTAACCGTATCAAAGGCAACTCTGCTAGCTCTGCAGGGGGATAAGGTGGAAATAAACAGTTAATGATATTTCAAACCTAGACAACTTTTTTCAGAAGCTTCTAGCTAAATATAATGGATTTAACGTAAATATTCACCTCCATTCTTTCTTAGTGATTAACTGATATACAGCAAAGTGGCGTAAAATGAAATCTAGTTGCTTAGGGATGGTAATATTAATGAAAAGCAAACTGTTTGACCCCTTATGGAACAACAGAAAGTCTTAGAAACTAGGTCTGATACCACAGAAAGGTGTGAATAACACAAGGATTACATGATAATCTGTATAAAGAACAGGTTAGATGCCTAGCTCTTCAATCCCAACTCATGCAGCTAGGTAACTACTCCTTTCCAATCATGACAGGAGCTGAATTGAAAGGCTCTGAACTCAAGGACCGCAGGCACAATGGAAAGTCAGGTTGAGTTCCCTGCTGAAAACGGAGGATTTAAGTAAAAGTCTACAAACGTGACCACAAGACCATAGCACTTTCCTCCCCAACCTTACCCCATCCCCAGCTCCTGACTGGCAGTAGTTAGGAACATACACAACACTGTAGAAGAAGGAAAACATCTTTCTCTGGGGAAACTATATTGTCCCATATAAAAGGCCTTTAGATACTGATAGGGAGTTTCCCCGAATAAAATATCCAGCTTACTGCTTAACTACTATTATACAATTCCTGCTCAGTATACTTGGAATTTCTAATTAGCTCTATACAGACAGTACACGATCCACAGACATTTAGAAGAGCCTCCAACATGTAAGACAGAAATCAAAACACGCAAGCCAATCTAAAAAAAGAGCTCTGAAAAAATAGGTAATATATAGGAAATAAAAGAAAACTTTTAAAAACTAGAATTAATGTCTCTAATTTCAGAGAGATAAAATACTAAATTACTGAAACAAGAAAGGAATGTTTTTTTAAAAAATCAGAGAAAAACAAGGGTTCTTAGAGATGAAAAATAAGATGGCAGAAATTAAAAATTCAGAAGAATGGTTAGAGTATAAACAGTTGGAACTGTTTACCACCTGGTTAAACAAAATGATGAAGAAATGGACAATAAAAACGATAAGAAAACCATAGGATCAATTAAAGGAGTCCAATATCTAATTCACAAAAACTCTAGAAAGAGAAAACAGAGAAATCAGAAGACAGGACATTATCAAAAAAGAGATATAAGACAATTTCTTATATCTTATATCGAAGGATGTGAATCGAAGGATGTGAATCTCTGGTTTAGAACGAAGGATGTGAATCTCTGGTTTAGATAGAAGGATCAATCTAAACGAAGGATGTGAATCTCTGGTTTAGATAGAAGCCCACCAAGTATCTGTTTATTGAATTAAAACAACTCATACTATGGCACATCATCATAAAACTTCAGAGTGGTAAGGAAAAAAAAGGGAAGACCTTAAAATATTCCAGAGGAAAAAACTGGTAACAAACAATGGACTGGAATTAGGAATGGCATCAAATTTTCCACCATTAAATTTTTTTTTTTTTTTGGCCGTGCCATGCAGCATGTGGGATCTTAGTGTCCCGACCAGGGACTGAACCCATGCCTCCTGCAGTGTTAAGTCTTAACCCCTGGACTGCCAGGGAAGTCCCTCAACCATTAATTTTTAAAATTGAAAGCTAAAAGCGAAAAAAGACTTGAAAATCATTTGACAAAATAATTTTCAACCTAGAATTTATAACCAAATTATTAATCAACGGTGAGCACAGAATAGAGATATTTCTTTTCAAGTGAAATCTCAAAAAATGTTTTCCTATGACATGTTCTCAGGAAACTACTAGAAGATGCCCTTCTAGCAAAACAAGGGAGTAAAGTAAGAAAGAGGAATTATTTGTCAGTTATACCTCAATAAAGCTGAAATTAAAAAAAAAAAGTAAGAAAGAAGACATGAAGTCCAGGAATAAGAGGAATAAGAGTTCAGCAAAGAAGAAAAGCTAGGCAGAAAATAACAGAGAACAACCAGTTCATACTGGAAGAGAAAGAAAAAAGGTTCAATGAAGGAGATATTCAGGGGAAAAAAAGAAAGATACATAATCTGATTGGTTTGACTAATAAGGCTGCTGGAAAAAGAGGGAGGAATTAGCCACAGGTACATAAAAAGCTAGGCAAATTTTTTTAAAAAGGACTTACTAACTCTAGAAAAACAACAATAAAAACAAGATGTCAAAGTTGATAAATCCAGCAATAGCTGTAAAAGCAGATCATTTAGAAATGTGTCAGCAAACAGTAGTGGAAAGAGTCAAAGGACTTGAAGGTATATGCTTCTGGCCATTGAAACTGGAGAGAGGAATGACTGAGGCAGGAGAATGCTATTATTTATTTTAAGCTTTTTATTACTATTTGACTTTTGGAATAATATATTTGATTAAAATTAATTTAAAATCAAAATGACAATATAACAAAAGATGTAATATCTTTATCTACCAAACTGTAATATGTTAGAGATCACCAAGGAGCATGAACTTCCACACTAACTTGTATAGGTGTTGGATGAAGCTTTCCTGCCATCTCAGTTTAACTGAGTATGCTGAGATTACAAGATAAGTCTACAAAAAAACATTTGAAACTATCTGTGTGACAATTTTCTTGGTAATATGCATTTAAAATAAGATAGAGAAATAAATTAGATGATAAAACTATCAGACTACAATCATCATCTGAAATCCCAGATTTTCATTTTCACCAAAACCCCGATTGTTTTGATTATTTAATTTCATATTAAGTCAGTATTATTGCATTAGTAAGCCTTTAAAGATCAACCACAGTAGGTGGGGCCTGAGTAGAGGGGTAATCCTGATAGAAATTTTGAGTTATATGTCAGTCATGATTTTGGTCGGTCCTGCTAATGGCCTGCATTCCCGCTGCTGGGGTGGTAGAAGGCAGAACCAGGAGGAAATGAGGAAGGCTCTGAAGATAAAAGGTATAAAGGTTACTGGACAAGCCTACTGAGGGGAAAGATATGCAGGATTTTGGGTAGTATGGTTGTAGTAAATGTATAAAAGTGGAATGGAAAAGTCACTTTGTGAGATGCTTACTCGGGATCAAAAAATGTCAAAGCTACACACACTAGTATATTAGAACTCAGTATCATACAGGATCAAATTGGTATAAACATCTGGATTCTACAAGGAAGCAAAAGCAACATTAGTTAATTCATTATTTACTGTACATTAAAAGTTGCATTTTGTAGAAAAACCTAGATAATCATTGTCACGAAAACATCTTCTAAAGATTCCTTATCTTTGAGACAAACATTCTGAAATGTTTATAGATGAATTTTTGTAAGTTGTTTCAAGTTAATCTAGAGGACAGAGCAAGAGAAAGAGGATGGGAGTAGAGCTGAAACAAGAACTTCCATGAGCTAATGACTGATGTAGTTGGGTGATTCATTGCTCTCATTTAGATATTAAATTTTACATAATAAAATTAAAGAAATATATATTCTAATTTAATAAAATAATGATTTTCACCATTTTCACTTTCTCTTGTAGCTTTCTCTTTCATGAATTTATATTTTTGAACGATTGATCAATTATACCTAATTAATTTGTTTAATCATTTTTATCATTCAAATACATGTACCAGAACTTATAGTCAGCCTAAGACAACCAGTCTCCTAGTGCAGTCTCTCACTCCATTCATTATTATTCATTTTACACATCACCTCCACACAGTTATTTAGCCTCTATCTGAACATCTCCAGTGAAGGATAAAATTATTAAATTCAAATCAAGTCCATTTTAAGTCAGTCAGTGATAATTGCAGCAATGTTTTCATTATACTAAACTATCCCCTTATCAAAAACATGTTATGTTTCTCCTAAGTAGTTATGCCAACTGAAATTTCCAGTGATCTTACCCTGAGTTATTGATTATATCAGTTAACAGGATCTAAAATTACAATCACTGTTAAATAGTTATTGGAGCTTTTCACTGAAGAGTCTAGCTTTTAAAATCCACAACGGAACAGACAGCACATATTAAAGAAACCATTACATTTCAAATACTGGCTCTAACTTTTATACATTTTTGAAGTGCCCATCAGTCTGAGAGATCTTTAAAATAAAAAGGCAAGAAACAAAACAGAACAAAAAAAACTGTTTCACAATTTCTTACCTTCAGGCAAACGTACTAAGTGATTTCTTCTTACATTAAGGTCTCGCAAGGCCTCCAAATTACCAATTTGGGAAGGGACTGTTTGAATTTCATTGCAGCTCACATCCTATTTCAAAAAGATACAAAGTAAAGAACTGTACTAATATTACAAACTTGCATGCTTTAAACTATCTGTAAAATGAGGTTGGACAAGATAATACCCCTCTTGTTGTAAAAAATACTATGATTCTGTGTCCAAGAATAATCCCATAGTTTGCAATAGCATTTAATTTTTTAAATGTATAGGCTTTTGACTGACTCCGTACACTGTATATAGATCTACATTAACTTTGTGAGCAGAACTAAAATTAAATGACTTAAGATGTGGACAGGAGGCCTAGAATATCAGATCAAATGAAAATGTTGGTGAAAAGGTTAAAAAAAAGGTATTAAAACAGATCTTTAGGACAATATTTTTATTTTATATTATTCTAAAGAAACTAGAAGAAAAAACAAAACTATGATAAAAATTATAATGATAAAATTATTTGAAAGGAAATCCCATTCTCAAAAATAGAAGTTCAACTATTCAAGAATATAAAATAAAAATGCACTGAAGATGACTCAAATCATTCTTTATCAAACTGAACATGAGGGAAAAATAATAAAGTACACATAACTCAAAGGCTATGGAAAAAGTAGATACTATTCTATTAGCAGCTCATCAACCTGATTCTAATACATATATTAGGTAGGCCTTCTGGTATCTTGGCAAATAGCTTGATTCCACTAGTTCTGAAAAGAGACTGACTACAAGGTTCCAAGACTGATAATTTCAGGATTCCATAATTCTGAGACCAGCCAGAATTTGTAAACCCATGCATAGCAACAAGAAGCTATCTAGGTTAATAAAAGCTCTAAGATGCCACAGTAACACTTAAAATTCCTCCAATATATAAATAAAAAGAAAATACTGAGACTTGTTATTAGAAAAGACTGCTTACAAAAAACTTCAATAAGCTTCAGACATTATTTTTAAATTTTCCCAAAGTATTCTCAGAAAGAAATAATACTATTTTTACCTTTCCTACCCATTCATGATTGAAGTAGAATCAGAAGCTAGACTTCTTAGCCCAGTGCTCTAGGTATCAAAGCTAAAAGGGTTCTAAAAGAAGTCAAGGGATCCCTGGTTAAGAATCTGCCTGCCAATAGAGGGGACATAGGTTCGAACCCTGGTCCAGGAAGATCCCACATGCCACGAAGCAACTAAGCCCATGCACCACAACTACTGAGCCTGTGCTCTAGAGCCTGCAAGCCACAACTACTGAAGCGCGCATGCCTAGAGCCCATGCTCCACAAGAGACTGCACCGCAATGAAGCCCCTGCTTGCTGCAACTAGAGAAAGCCTGTGTGCAGCAACAAAGACCCAACGCAGCCAAAAAAATATATATATATATAAAGAAGTCGAAAGGATAGGAAGATTGAGTCTGAGCCAGAAGGGAATAGCAATCTATAATATCGCTCTCAGAAAATATGTACGTTGAAAGACAGCAGTTTACTTTCACTAAAAAAAAATGAAGGAGAAAAAAAAGGAAAAGAAGCAATAAGGATGCTGTAGAAAGACCCATGAGGGAATCAGGAGCATTACGATTATTAATTTTTACTCTGCCACAAGCTGTTTTTTATGACTGAAGTATCAACTCACTTCTTTCGTAGAAAGCTAGAAGCACCTTCTGTGAGACATATCTATCCCTTAAGCATTTAGGATTCAATAACTAGAAACAGAAAGTTTAAATCGTGGTCTAGTATCTAGACTCTAAATTTAATATATTTGTGAGTTCTTATATGTGACCTTTTATATTCATAATCTACCTGAAAAAAAAAAGTGACCCAACATCTGGTCCAATTAGACTTTAAGTGTACAGTCAGTTGTCCCTCAGTATCTGCAAGGGATTGGCTCTGAGGATACCAAAATCCATGGATGCTCGAGTATCATACAAAATGGTGCATAATTTGCGTATAACCTACATATATCCTCCTGTATGCTTTCAACCATCTCTAGATTACTTATAATACCTGATACAACGTAAACACTGTGTAAATAATTGTCACACACAGCAAATTCAAATTTTCCTTTTTAGAGATTTCTGGAAAAAATTTTTTTTTAATTTTATTTCTTATTTTTGGCTATGATGCATGACTTGTGGGATCTCAGTTCCCCGACCAGAGATCGAACCCACACCCTTGGCAGTGGAAGTGCAGAGTCCTAACCACTGGACCACCATGGAATTCCCAGGAAATTTTTTAAAAAAATATTTTTGATTCACCGTTGGTTGAATCCACAGATGCAGAACCTACAAAAACAGAAGGCCAACTGTATTTATTTTTCGTTTACAATGTACATACATCTTTGTTAATAAACCTACATGGAATTATACTCCCAAATCTTAATGGACATAATTGTATTTGATCATTTCAGAAATAGGAATCATGGGTTCTGGAGTTAAGGTAGACTGGTTTCAAATTCTACTTCAGTTATGGAACCTTTGGAACCTTTGGCAAATTACTTAACCTATCCTGAGTGCTAGTTTCTTCAGCTATAATAAGATGATAACAATTCATAATGTTATTGTGGTGATTAAATAAGAAAAGTCTTATTCCCATGCCCAGAACAAAAGCACTCAAGAATAACAAGAAGTGGTAGGTGAAGGTTAAGCTTCTTAGAAAATATAAAGAACAGCTCACTTCAGAGTGGGAGCTAGGTTCTAAAGATAGCCTATAAGGTAAAAAAAGTAAACCTGACCTTTGTACTGCCCATTCCCTATAGGCACTAACCAAAAATCAGAATACTGATGCTATTAACAAGATTTAATTTAAAAAATTCAAACCCTTTATTAAATTATGTCTCAAAAGTTTAATAACATAGAAATCACTTACTATTGATTAGAACCTGATTAGACTTTGGTTAGACTTGTACTTTCAGTTCTTTCCTAATTCTGTGCTGAAGCACTTGAGAGCTCATCAATCAGTAAAACTTCATTATCAGTACTTGAAAATAACTCAAAAACACAAGAGTGTGTGTGTGTGTGTGTATACACACACACACACATATAAAACAATCAAAAAATGAAATATTAACTTACAAGTTCTGTTAAATGTCTGAGATGTCCAATTTCTTCTGGAAGTGAGACCAATTTGTTATTACTAGCAATTAAGACTTTCAATGGTAAATCACACAAGTGTACTGGCAATGTTGACAGCTGGTTTCGACTAAATGGGTAAGCAGAAAAAGAGAAAAGTCAGAGCCCACCACTCAAGGAAAAAAACTTCCGTCTTTCTCATTCTATACTAAGTACACTAACAAAGGTAAGTCTTGCAAGGACCAAACAGGATATTAGACTTGAGTTTGAGTCTTCATTTCCTCACTTGTCAGCTTTTGTGTTTTTAGGCACAGAATTTAATTTATCTGTATCTTACACAGATTCCTCATCTGCAAATCACAGGGCTTACAGGACTTTTGCACCATAAGACTACTTTGTAAATAATGAAGTGCCATATAAACAAAACATATTATTATTTTATTAAACTTAAATTTATATAGGAAAAAATGATTTTAAAATAGGATAGATAACTAACATCCTCTCTTCTTCCTTCCAAAGAGTTATATTAAAAGTGTTTGTAATTTACTTCCCTCATCATTACATTATTATAACCAAATGTACATAAACAACCCAAATATAATTCTATGGGAAATAAGGGACAGATTGTGATTTCAAATATATCATATTAACTGAGGGATAGGTAAGGAATTTTTATTTATACAAAAATGTACAAATCAGAACTGAAAGTAAAAACACATCTATCATTAGGATAAAAATAAGTTAAAATTTTACTTATGCAGATTTAACATCTTAATCCTTAGTAACAACTGCCCCCCCCTTTTCAAGATCTTTGATGATTTTACTAACACAGACCATAAGCCTTTAAAACTTTTAAAATCTAATAATTAGACATTCACATACAAAACTGTCTACCAGTGCTACTTTGATCATGGGGAAAAAACTGAGAGAATAAATATCTGAGAGGGAAAATGAGTTTTAGAAATATATAAACTGTACATTAAAATGATTACATATAAAAGTATTTCCAAAGCATATTTAATGAGAAGGGGAAAATCTCATTTAAAAATTTGACTAAAAGCCTACAAAAAAGTAAAAGTTCACCTATAATTATATAACTCAGACACAACATTTTGATGAATTTCCTTTACTTTTCTACATTTGTTTATCTTCTCCAGTCAACATTTATAACTTTTATAATGAAATAAAATAACAAAAGAATTCTTGTAAAATGTGAAAAAATGGAGTAGGTGAGTTGAATAAATGCATTTATATATTCAGAACTTAGTACACAAAAATACGTAATCACAAAAACCAAAGTAATTTCAGATGTACTATTCTCATTTGATGAAGCTTATTTGAAAATGTAATCAGAAAACCACTGCTACAAGACTACTCCAAGTCTATTAGGCTAATGGCTCTTAGAGTTAGTTAATTATTACAAAGACAAAGATAAAGGGAGAAACTAGAGGGATACAGAAAATGCTGCTAATTTAGTCTAAGAATATGTCGAGATATTACTGATATAAACAGACAATGTAAATTTGTTTTTAATTATTATTTTTAGTTTTTGGCCACGTGGCATGTGGGAGCTTAGTTTCCCGACCAGGGATTGAACCCGTGCCCTCTGCAGTGGAAGCATGGAGTCCTAACCACTGGACCACCACGGAATTCCCCAGATAATGTAAATTTTAGTGAAAGGGAAGAGGAAAACTGATAAGATCACACAAAACTAAAAATTAAAAAGAAAAAATCCTTACCTAATATTTAAGAACGTTAGAGCTTGCAAGTTTAGAATTGCCTCTGGTATATACCGAATACAATTTTGGTATAAATTGAGATTCTCAAGAGAAACGAAGTGACATGCTTCTATGGGAATTTCTGAGAGGCGATTTCGTGACAGATCTGAAAGAAAAAATAAATTAAGTTTAAAATCAATCCTTGGAACTTATTTTACTGAAATTTTAAATAAAAAAAGCAGGTTTCATAATTGTTTGAATTTCCTAGAGCTCCTATTGTGGAGACTGGTACAGATTAGATATTCAAATATTAAATGATTGAATAAACCATTTTAACAATATGCCTCTATACCTGCTGCTGGGAAATGTTGATTCCTTTTGAGTCTCTACACATACTAAAAAATAAAACCATTATTCTTTGCAAATAACATAAATTACAAGGAATACCAGCTTAAAAATTATATCACAGATCATGCTAAGTACCAAATATCCTAGAAAACAAATGGATCCCTAAAATCCACCTTCTCAAAAGCTCAGACAACATTCTAAGGTTTTCAGAAAAGCGAAGCAAAACGAAACAAAAAAAAACATTGTCCCTTTCTTTACCAGTCAAAAAGTATCACTGTTGGGCTTCCCTGGTGGCGCAGTGGTTGAGAGTCTGCCTGCCGATGCGGGGGACACGGGTTCGTGCCCCGGTCCGGGAAGATCCCACGTGACGCGGAGCGGGCTCGGCCCGTGAGCCATGGCCGCTGAGCCTGCGCGTCCGGAGCCTGTGCTCCGCAACGGGAGGGGCCGCCAACAGTGAGAGGCCCGCGTACCAAAAAAAAAAAAAAAAGTATCACTGTCATGTCAAAAGGACTCAGGAACCATCTTTGCTCCCACTGGCTAAAGATGAGATAATCTGAGCTTCAATAAAGATAATAATTGCAGCGGAAAAAAAAAATAATTGCAGTGAATTGAAATCTATCACATATTACTGAATTTATCCTCCCCAAAAGATGATAAAGAACCAATTAATTACCTTGTAAGCTGATAAAGGGGGGGGGAGCAAACATTTATCTTGCCTTCCCTATGTGAACTGTATCACTGAGTAACCAAAAAGATAAAGGGAAGCATCTTTATATGTGTTCTAGCTATAAATGAAAAATGATAGAATATAGCATTTTGCAACTCTCAATGAATTAATGGATCCAGAATTGAGTATTAATGGCTGTTATCTTTACAAAAAGATAATCAGAAAGTATATGCCCCCCATTAGAAGAACAGAACATCATTTATGGTCTTGCCAAAGGGACAGAACCTGAGTCAAATCAAGCTTTTCCATCAGCTGCAAACTTTCAGAAAATGAAGAGGACAAAGAAGTATGCTGAAATACAGTCACTCTATCATTAACCATTTAGATTTAATTAAATACACTGTGAGATTCATTTGCTCACTACTGTTTTCTCTCTTCTTCTGCCCCTTAAATTCTCTGTTGAGAATTATTTGGTGAGAATCCTTTAACTTTCCCAGATGGAGGATCTGAATTCCTGCACATCTGCAAGTACCTTGCTTTCACCATAACAAGTGAATGATATTTCAGCTAGGTATAGACAATTCTTTTCTTGGTAATCTGTAGATGTTATTTTACTACCTTCTAGTTTCCAGTGTCACACTGAGTAGTCCAGCACATATCTGATTATTTTTCCTTTGTAAGCAGCTTGTTCTTTGTCTCCCTACATGCTTAAATTAACACTCTGGTCCAGAACTCAGTTGGTTCTTTCAATCCTTCTTTAAATCAGAGAAATTCTCCTCTATTATACCTTTAGTTGTTGCATCTCCTCCATTTGCTCCTTCTCCTTCTTTATATTTTTTCTCTGTTTTGATATACTCTTCCACTTAATGTTCCAAACCATGAATCTGAGTCTCAACAGTAATCATTCTCTCCTTAAATTAATATATAGAAAAGTTTTTCCCCTCACTTTTTAATTCTTTCATGCTATAATTAGAAGCATGTCACCCTGTTTCTCTTGAGAATCTCAGGATAATTTAGTTTTTGTTTTCTGTTTTTTTTTAATTGAAGTATAGTTGATTTACAATGTTGTGTTTCTGGTGAATAGAAAAGTGATTCATAAAACTTGATATATATATACTTTTTCAGATTCTTTTCCATTAGAGTTTGTTACAGGATATTGAATATAGTTCCCTGTGCTATATAGTAAGACCTTGCCGTTAGATATATAGTAGTTCGTATCTGCTAATCTCAAACTCCTAATTTATCCCTTCCCTCCCCTTTCTCCTTCGGTAACCATAAGTTTGTTTTCTACGTCTGTGAGTCTGTTTCTGTTTTGTAAGTAAGTTCATTTGTATCACTTTTTTAGATTCCACATGTAAGTGATATCATATGATATTTGTCTTTCTCTGTCTTACTTCACTTAGTATGATAATCTCTAGGTCCATTCATGTTGCTGCAAATGGCATTATTTCATTCTTTTTTACGGCTAAGTAATATTCCACTGTGTGTGTGTGTGTGTGTGTGTGTGTGTGTGTGTACACACGCACACACACATACATACAGACACACCACATCTTTATCCAATCATCTGTCAATAGACATTTATGTTGCTTCCATGTCTTGGCTATTATAAATAGTGTTGCTATGCACACTGGAGTGCATGCATGTATCTTTTCGAATTAAGAGTTTTCTCCAGATATATGCCCAGGAGTGGGATTACTGGAACATTCTGTTTTGTTTTACTTGTTAAAATTGTCATCTATCTCTTCGAATAATTCTATTTCACTGAAGTCACTTCTTCTAGATGTAATCCTTGTTCATCCTCTCTGGCTGCTGGAGTTCCTTTAAATGAATTATCTTCCTTTGCCAATTCATGGCTTGCCTCATCTTTGGAGCTCAGATCAAACTGCTAGAGTACCATGAATGGCATTCAACATCAAAACAGTGGAAGCAAGCTCCATGATGCACTGGAACTAAGCTTCCCCTCTGGGGCACAGTTCTTCTTGAGAACTCAAAAGTTTTGATAACTGCCATAGGTTTTTGCCTCTTATTTTCATTTGGATCCCAGTATATCCCCCAGACTCACATATTCCCTACAAGTCCCACCAGCCTGTGAGCCTCCAAGTTGCTTCACTCTGAAGTAGTAGTTAGTAACTGAAGTTGGGAAAGACCACCATCCTACCAAAATGCCTCCCTTTTAGGAAAAAGTTAAAGCCCAGGTAACAGAGGGCATCAAATATTTACAAATAAAAATTTCCTACAGGGCTTCCCTGGTGGTGCAGTGGTTGAAAATCTGCCTGCCAATGCAGGGGACACGGGTTCGAACCCTGGTCTAGGGAGATCCCACGTGCTGCGGAGCAACTGGGCCCGTGAGCCACAATTACTGAGCCTGTGCGTCTGGAGCCTGTGCTCCGCAACAAGAGAGGCCGCGATAGTGAGAGGCCCGCGCACCGCGATGAAGAGTGGCCGCTGCTTGCCACAACTAGAGAAAGCCCTCGCACAGAAATTAAGACCCAACACAGCCATAAATAAATAAATAAATAAATTTAAATCATATGGGCTTCTAAGAAGACCTCTGCTTAAAAAAAAAAAAAAAAAGATGCAGCTGTAAACTGTCACCCATGCTTGCTGCCCTCCCTTAAAAAAAAAAAATTTCCTACAGAATCACATGGTAAATAACTTAATACAAAATACAACAAAAATTATTTTATAAATTCCTATTTAAATTTTGTTAGTATGATTTTAAAAATGAAGAAATGAAAGAAATTAATTTCAATTACAAACTGCTCCTTAGGGACCTCCTTGGTGGCGCAGTGGTTGAGAATCTGTCTGCCAATGCAGGGGACACGGGTTCGATCTCTGGTCTGGGAAGATCCCACATGCCGAGGAGCAACTAAGGCTGTGTGCCACAACTACTGAGCCTGTGCGCCACAACTACTGAGCCTGTGCACCACAACTACTGAGCCTGTGTGCCACAACTACTGAAGCCCAGGCGCCTAGAGTCCATGCTCCACAAGAGAAGCCACTGCAATGAGAAGCCTACGCACCGCAATGAAGAGTAGCCCCCACTTGCCACAACTAGAGAAAGCCCACACACAGCAACGAAATCCAATGAGGCCAAAATAAATAATAAAATAAAATACATAAATTTATTAAAAAAAAGTGTCAGCAGAACTTCATTCTTTCTGGAGCTTCTAGGAGAAAATCTGTCTTCTTTTTTTCCCCAGCTTCTAGAGTCTGTCCACATTCTTTGGCTCATAGCCCCATTCCTCCATCTTCAAGTCAGCAATATCAGGTACAGTCCTTCTGATGCTGCCATCTCTGTGGGTCTCCCTCTTCTGCCTCCTTCTTCCACTTTTAAGGATCCTGTGATTTGCCCACCTCCCCCTGCTCCCAAATAATCAACGATAATCTTCCTATTTGAAGAACAGCTGATGAGCAACCTTAATTCCCCTTTGCCATGTAGTACAACATATTCATAGGTTATAGGGATTAGGATGTAGACTAATCCCTACATCCTACCTCCTAATGTGGGGGGTACATAATTCTGCCTAGCACACAACAAGTTTCTAAAAGTAGAAGCATACTTTATGTGTTTTCTTTTGTGACCTTCTCTCAACATTTGAGATTCATTCATGTAGTTGCATACTGCAGTAGTTCCTTCATTTTCATTGTCTTCATACTATTCTATATGAACGTGCTACAATTTATTTACTCATTCTACTACTGATGAACATTTCGATTACACACTGAACTAGGAGAGAAAATGCTGTGTAATAAGATTTATGTATCATCAACTTCAAAAGAGCATGCCAAATTGTTTTCCAAAGAGGTTGTACCAATTTACACATTTACCAGCAATGTAGAGTTCTTGTGGCTTCATATCCTTGCTAATACTTGTTATTGAGATGTTTTAATGTTTATTATGTTTTAAAGATTTTTATACAGTGGCATTTCATTGGATTTTAATTTTCATTTCCCTGATTATTAATGAGGTACAACAGCTTTTCATATGTTTATTGGCCATCTAGATTTCCCTTTTTGTAAAGTACCAGCTCAAGTCTTTTGGTTTGTTGGACATCTTTATAAATTCTGAATATGAGACTGTTATCAGTTATATGTGTTGCAAATATGTTCTCCCACTCTGTAGTTTGAAGTTTCACAGTCTTTGT